TTAGTTTTCGGTAGGACCCCTGCTGACGAGGCGCCCGGTCAACCGCGAAATCCAGAGACGAAGAGGAGGCAGAAATGGCGAAGGGGCACGAACGAGTCTCAAAAGAAAGGAAAAGAAAAGAAAGAAAAAACGGTTCGTCGCTTTTGTCGTAGCTGATTTAAAAAAAAAAAATAAATACCAATGGGTATTTTATTCGATCGAGGAGATGGATAATCATCATACACGAGGATTATTCGACGAATCAAGGTATATTTTAATAGACATAGAGAATGATACAAAATAAGACGTAGCTTTCGGTTTTTTGAGAGGAAGAGTTTGGGTTACGAGCTTCCTTCCGACGACACGTCGTAGTCGCTGTCGTCGCTGAATCGCGGTTCCTTGATGTTAGGCGTGGCGGCAGATTTATCGTTGATCAGGACGTAAGTGCCATACGGGGTTTTCTTGATCCTTCCTAGAGCGACTCCCGCTTTCAGAACCTCCATTACCAGGTAGCCGGCGCGCGCTTGGGTAATCTTCATGTTCTTCAACACGTATTGCACGATACTCTCGAACGTGGCACCCTCCACGAACCCGTTCATCTCGTAAACACCTGCGGGAACGGGTTCGTTTCAGTCCTCATTTCTTACCAATTTTTCTTTTCTTTTATATATATATATATATATAACATATACGTTAAAAAAAATTATTTCGTCACATCGATCCGAGATGGGAAAGAATTCGACGTCCACGGACTTAATCTAGATTAGATAACTGAAAATACCTTTCGTATCGCGCTATAATCTTCCCTCTCCTTCAAAAGGAGCAATATCGTTTTTTTTTATTGGTATTAAGTCTCGTAATTGAGATGTGGTTCCTGTCGTGCGGCCGTACACGCAACTTCAACAACTTCGAGCATCGTTGGGCGGCCGCCGCCGCCGCCGTTGGGCGACACGCGACGAACGGAGATGTCGTGCGAAAAAAATATCCTTGGGACGACGAAAGGAACGTCGACAAGGATGTGGTTACGGCCCGCAAGGACGATAATTAAGAGCACGATGCATTCTGGAAAATCGGCCTGCGCAAATTACGCGACGTCGAAGGCGAAGAAATCGTATTATTACTTTCGATTCGAAGGTGAACTACAATTTACGTACATCGAGAAATTTAGAATATTTCAACTCGTCGAGAAGATTTCGAGGGTGCGAATTGGAATTGTCAAAATCCTTGGCTATCGTCGAGATCTCGCTTCCTCGAGGAGGAACAGTTTTTCGTCGAGGTTTCGGCGTGGAAGCAGCAGGCCTGATTCGCCGGCCTAATTGAAGGGCGCCCAATGCGCTTCGGTCAACGTGTAATTATCGGGCTCGAGAATGCGCCGCTCGAAAACGAGAATAGAGACATTATTCCACCGCTCTATCTTTTCCTTTCCGTTTCTTCCAGAAGGAAGATGCCTCCCTTTTTCATCCTCCATTACCCGCTCCCCCCTTTTTAGAAAGGCAATATTACGATATTAAAACTACTATTTCGATTACTTGCTCCGTTTCGAGCAGATGTATCGAATTATTGGATTCGAAGTAATCGTGGATAAACGAAAAGATGGCGGCGATTAAAAGCGGCTGGCGGAGGCGCGAATGGGTCGAGATACGGGCGAAGATAAGATCGGCGATCGTGGGCGAGAGAGAGCAGGTCTCACCGGTCCAAGGAGCGTGTCTTCTTTATTCTTCGGCTCCGCCGAAACCGACACGAACATTCCACCTTCCTGGAACTCCCCGTTTTTCCATCGCTATTGTACGGATGCGACGTTTTGGGTGGAATATATCCATATCCGGTTTGGGGAACCGATTAAAATTACACGTTGATTATAGGTTCGTGTTCGTGCGATCGTAAAACGTTCTTCGATATTACCGTCGTTTATGGTTTTAATTTAAACGTTCGAAATAAAAATTTGTCCAGTATATTTTTTTATTTCTTATATTTTTCTCGTACCGCAGTTACCCGATTTAATTATTCGTTATTCATTTATATCGGAAAGATGCGTGTTTCGAGATGTCTCTGCTTGGATGCAGCGGGCAAGTAGCTCGTCACGCGACGAAAACGAGAACCGAGACCAATTAACCCATCACGATCGCTAATTGCTCTGACACGAAATGAATAGACGCTCTCTGAAACCGGCCTGTTTCCTTTCGTACCGATCAACGAGTGGATATAATTGGATAACCAAAAGCTTTCCATTTCCAATTCCCCGTTCCAATATCGTAAATTCTATTTATATAACATTCGTCGAGTTCCCCTTGGTTGGTGGCGATTAGATCGCGTGGTAAAATTTCGAGGAAAATTTTTGGCCGAGGTTGTAACAGGTTTATCTCTAACTCTTTTCTCTTTTTTTTTTTTTTTTTTTTCTCAATTCCAGTTAGGTAAGATGGAGAGGGGAGGGCAATGCGGGTCGACTCTTTTGCATAAAACACATTTACCCAACGTATCCTTTAGATAAAACCTCGTGTTCACGCTTACCGGTAACAAATCGGTATTATCTATACATTGGTCGTGTCAAAGCACGCGCGGTGGTGGCCGGTATCCGAGCCAAAGCGTGGAGCACGAACGATCGACCGTCCCTCCATACCCTCCCTCCCCCACGCTCCGTAAAATATCGTATCCCGATAGTCGTGGTGAAACTCGCGTGGTGAAACGTCACGGACTATTACCACCGCCCGAAACAGAAAGAGAAAGCCTCTCCCTTGGCCGGATAGAGTCATTACGCGTCCGAGGGATAAAACTTTCCACCTGCGCCGCATAACTCGTCCAGGTGAAACACCTGTGCGGCCGAACTCCTCGAATTCGTCCAACGGACGAGACACGCTCGGATCCCGTGGAATCCTCGAGGCCCTGGTGTAAATCATCGAAACGTTAGCATAATCTCGATCGTTGAGACGAGAGAGAGAGAGAGAGAGAGAGAGAGCGAGAGAGCGAGAGAGAGAGAGAGAGAGAGAGAGGAGGGGGGCAGGTGAGAGCGGCGAGGAGAAAGCATCCGAACGGATTTGCCCCTTATCTCCTTGCCGATTTATGGGGCCGAACACCCTTATCGTATCATCGTCCTCGTGCTGCAATTTCGCTGTCACGATACGAGCCGAGTAAAAGTTTTAAGGCTCGTAATTACACCTATAAACTACGAAGAGGAGGAGGAGAAGGAGGATTCGAGCGTTTGCGAAAACCTTCTCCGAACGGAGAGGCCGATGATGCTAACATTGTACTCGCAGGATAATAAATGTCAACCGTTGTTCGCACAGGTGCTGCAACGAAGCGATGCGATTCTCGAGGGAGGGGATCCTTAAGACTGAGATATCGTGAGGGGGGCGCGACGTTAATGACGCGAGAGCGATTTTGAAGCAGGCGATGATCAAAAATTCCTCGTTTATTTTTTTTTTTTTCTTTTTATGCAACCAAGAAACAGAGGCTTCGAAGCTGTCGTAACGTATATTTAGACACTCGGTATGTTTTTCATACGCGTTCAAAACGTTTTTCGAAACTAGATACTAGGATTAAAATATCAAAGAAATTTCCTACGTCGGATTTATATTATCAAGCGGGAGCATTGAAAAATAGTGGAATAAGCTAGAATAAGTTTCCTCTCGGGTTCTAGCATTATTATTATTATTATTATTATTGTTATTATTATTATTATCATCTAACGACTGTTTTTACGCCGTATACCCGATACCGTGGAATTACTCCTTGCCCTCTCCATCCTCGTCCCGAGTAGAGCAACGCACGATCCCCCCCCTCGTCTCTGGAAAGACTCTCTCTTTCGACGATCTGATTCTGGTCGATATTATAAAATATCCGAACGCGAATAAAATATGAAACGTGATTGAGGAGCGTTTCGTCGAAACTTGTGAAAAGTACGTGGGCGCGAGTGATCGAGAACTGGATCGAGGCGCGCGATTTATTGGGAGGGATAAGGATCTCGTAAATACGAATTAAACACACGGTTCGTCGATTTTCCGAAGCGAGAGGGTATCGTTCCCCGAGACAAATGGTATTACCATAGATTACAGCTATTTGTACGTACGGGGAACGCATGAATACAGAATCGATGGAAATGGCTCAATTAGTCGCAACGAGTCGAGACTGTAACGCGATCCTTTCCCTCCTTCTCCTCGAGGTAATTGTCGTACGCGATGGAATGTCGTACGCGAATAGGGAAGCGTTTTGAATCGCGATTCAAGTGTATCTTTCGTTTCGGTGTCCCCTTACCAGCTACCAGCTGGATCACAGTGATTACAGAGATAATGCGTTCGCTGGAAATGAGTTCAGTAGGCCTGGTAAAGGAAACAAGAGCAAACGATACGATGATGAGGCATTCGAGTCTTGAAACTTAAAGGGAAGAAAGTAATTCTAAAAGAATCACTCGATCTATATATTTTTTAATGTTCATGATTTGAAATTTTGAAATTTGACGATAAAAGTTCAAGGAAATTATTCGAATTCTCAAACGAAATAAGTTTTAAATAGTCTTTGGAATCGAAGGGAAAAAAAAATAGGAATAAAATCGGGAGAATAGTTTACCAGCTCGAGTCGGGCAGCTTCGATAACGAGTCTTCGTAATTGTAGTCGGTCGCGATCACGAACCACTGTATCACCGGATATCGTCCATCACGAACAAATCCAGGCGCATTCCTTCGAGGATACGTGAACGTACGCGATTAATTTCAACGATTCGCCCTTTAATATTCCCGATCGATCCTTAAATCGGCCGCGGATCAGAGAAGATTTCAAGGAAAAATAGACGATTCCCTCGGTCTGTCGGTCGCTTTGTTCCTCGAGAGAGGAACTTCTTTCTTTCCCCACGTTTCAACTGAATAACTGAATTGGACCGCCAACACGTCAAGCTCGTTACGCGATGCCGCCGCCGCTTCTGTCCCCCCTCTTCCTCTTTCTTTTGCTCCTTCTTTTCATTCCCATCATCTCGACCGGGTAATAATAATTATCCTAGGAATCGAGATTTTTCGCGGGTGAAACCGGTCGAGGCCTCGTCACTGGATATTCATCGGTGGATACACACGTTCGGTAGCCGTGCCATCAAAACTGACAAATAAACGTGGACGTGATTCTTGGCGGTGTTGTCGAGCTTTCCGGGAGCAAAGTTCTCGATAAATGAAAGAAACGTTGACTTTTATTAACCTCGAATAATTCACTACTTTCGCCCTTAATTTCTTATAAATCAAATGGATAGAATAATTAGATTTATTGGAACGTGATCGAGACACGAATACCTATTATATGTTTTTAGGAGAAGAAAGCATGATCGGCGATGATACAAAATCCGGCGTAAGAAAGAAAAAGCGCGAGAAGAGGGAGAAGGAGAAGGAGAAGGAGGAGGAGGAGGAAGAGGAAGAGGAAGAGGAGGAGGAGGCCACCCTGATCGAGGATTACCATAAACACTCGACTCGGTCGTGCATGCACGTTAGCGCGCTACTAGCAAATACACGTGTAAATCCCGTGTTTCAGCTCTTATTCCGTCTTCCCCGCCTCCACGGGACTCCCTCTACATTCCCCTACTTTTCTTCCCTAGCCACCTCTTTCGTGCCCTTTCCCTCGTGTCCTCGAGACTCCTCG